TAGAGCAGCAAGAGGAAATGAACACACTCAAGTCAAAAAGGGCTAACCCTGTTTCAAGCCTCAGCTTGATGGAGAAGGGTGGAAAGGCAGGGAAGGTCACACCCAGATGACAGAGCAGAGGGGTGTAGGGGAAGACACACAGATAAGAGTCACCACATGCTCAGGAAGCAATGGCAGGAACCAAGTTGCAGTGGACACAATGGGGCAGAACAAGAGGTCAGATGGGGCCAGTCCATGACAAATCAGGACAGACTTAGTCTCAAAGAAATTAAGGAAGATGAGGCACAGGACAAGACAGGGCATAAATACTAAATTAGTCTCAGTTTTTAAATCAGACACAGAAGGAACTCTTCCTAGACAAGCAGCTACCCTGAACATTTGACACCGATACTAATCACGAGGATCCTCTTTGGGGGCTGATGGCCTTCTGAGCAGAAAGCTGTCCAGCTAAAACAGACCTAGCCAACAGTGGGAGCCAGCACTTAAGCCCTCATTGATGTGTCTGATTTATTTTTGATGACTAGTTCTAAAACAACTTAATCTATCCTTAGATCCCTCCACTAATATATTCAAAAGAATGTGTCACATAAAGCAGCCATAGGGGCTGGAAAGATGAGATCATTCAGTGGTTAAGAGCATGCACCACTCTTTAGAAGACCTAAGTTCATGGCCCAGGTGGGTGACAACTACCTGTAACTCCAGCTCCAGGGGGATCAGACACCTCTGGCTTCTGAAGGCACTGACACGCGCGCGCGTGCGTGCATGTGCGTGTTCATTTATTTAAAAATAAAAATTTTTTTTTAAAAGCAGTTCCAAAAATGTCATGAACATCAACATGAGAGGATATTTTACTTGGGTGACTTTTTTAAATTGACACTTGTCCAGGTTTGGTACTCAGGTGTTAAAAAAAATTCAAACTCATGACCGTACACTAATTCATATTTGGTCTAATGGAATAGATGGGTACAAGATAACAAAAATAAAAGACACCCCCCACCCCCACCAAGGTCAGGTGGACAGCTAGCCTGCTGGACTTCTGGAACCTTAGAAAGGACAAACAGGGACACAGCCCCAAGAGCTGCATTAACTTCCTGGCCCTGTCAATTAAGGGCTTTGTGACTATGAACCAAGATCCCACCCCCTAGCACCTCAGGGAGGATAGCCATTTTGATCACTCAGAGTGTGTAGGAGAGAGGACAAAACATGGCCAAATGGTGGCATGGTGAGACAATCAAATATGGCACACTGGCAGGAAGAAAGGCCTCTTGACAGGTGGCCTGCGCCCAGGTGATCTAGGGGAGCCTGGGCCTCACCTGGCTTCTGCAGTGTTCACTAAACTGAGGCAGTCCCAGTATCAGAGGTACTTGAACTTGGAAAAGGTCAAGACTGCACCCGCCCCCCCCCCCCCCAATCCACCTGCTGAAACCTGCAGACAGCTGCAGAGGAAGAGAAATCTGTTTATACTTATGTTCTGTCTCCACTTCCCAAAAGTTCTACCATCCCTACAGGCCTTCCTCATCTTTCTCATGTTCTGGACAGAACTCACTTCCACAGACTTCCATGGGGACAAGAAAATGCTGCTGGACTTTAAGCAGTGACAACAGCATCTCTGGGCATATATTTTCAAAATGCCTCCAGAGAGGCAGGTAAAGGAATGAGGTTTGTGGCTCATTATCAGCAATGTAGGTCAGAAAGGCAAATGAGACAAGTATGAAACTCATCAAGGCTGGCCTCCTCCAGCCAGGTAATCAATCACACAGCCAATGCCTGTACTTCCTTTTAACTTTTGCTAAAAATAGCTTCTCAACATGTGACTATAAAATCATTTTTAATCTGACCAAAATAAAAAAATAATCCCTTTGCAAAATATACATATCATATTCCCCACATTATAAACTCAAAAAAAGCCCAGGTGAATCCAATTATTTTTTTTAAAAAAACTCTCCCAAGATAACGTTGTAAAATATGGCATCTGTCAAGAAAATGAGCAACCCATTTCTTGGTGATTTCTTGACGTCCTGAAGACCACCAGGACACTAGACACACTAAAGGCAGGCAGTGGCCTTGTAACAGAACGACCAATGAGCCCTGTGCCAGCAGGAAGGCAACATCTTGGGAATACTATAAACCCCTGAGAACAGCCTCACCCTTGGATCTGCAAGCCCCTCCTTTGTCTAACAGAAGGCTTTACAGTCAAGGTTAGCGCAATGCATAGGACACACAGGGTACACAGTGAACATTCAAATGATAGAAATGGCTGGAGAGATGGCTCAGCAGTTAAGAGTGCTTATTGCTAGAACTAGAGAGATGGCTCATCAGTTAAGAGCACTGGTTGCTCTTGCAAAGGACCCAGATTCAATTCCCAACCAGCACCCACATGGCAGCTAACAAACATCCTAACTCCAGTTCCAGGGGAATTTGACATCCTCATTATATGACACAGGTGCACTTATATACATCCAGGCAGTATACTCATACACATAGAAAAATAAAAATAGGGGGCTGGAGAAATGGCTCAGAGGTTAAGAGCACTGACTGCTCTTGCAGAGGACCTAGGTTCGATTCCCAGCACCCACATGGCAGCTACGAACCATCCTTAGCTCCAGTTCCAGGGGAATCCGAAGCCCTCTTCTGACCTCCGTGGCATTGCACAACACGGGTACACTCACATACATGCAGGCAATACACTCATACACATAAAATAACTAAAAAAATTTAAAAAAAGAAAAAATAATCAACAAAAAAAATTTTTTTTTAAACAAGAATGCTTATTGCCTTGCAGAAGTCCCTGGTTTGGTTCCCAGTACCCACATAGCAGCTCCAATACCCTCTTCTGACCTCTGTGAGCAGATATATATATATATACTCAGGCACACACATGTACAGATAAAACAAATAAACCTTTAAAAAATACTTAAAAAGAAAACTATCATTACCCCCACTTCCCTGCCCCCGTCCTCTGTAGGATATAGCAAATGGTAGAAGACCACCTTCCATCCCATCACAGAAATCTGAGAATCAGTTTGTCAGTTTCCCTTGCTGAACTCTGATTGGGCCCAAGGTAAAGCTTGGGGTCTTTGGGGGAGAAACAGACCCTTAACGGTACTTAAGTCTTCCAACCTATGCGTACCACATGTGTCTTACTTCCTATCAGCAGCATTTTGAAGTTGGCTCTGTGGCGGTCTTGTACATCTTTTTTTTTTGGTCTTTTTTGGTCTTTTTTTGAGAAAGAGTCTCCCTGTAGCTCCAGCTGACCTGGAACTCACTAAGTAGACCAAGCTAGCCTCAAACTCACAGGGATCCACCTGCCTCTGCCTCCCAAGTGCTGGAATTAAAGGCATGCGCCACCATGCCCAACACATTTTTAAATTTGTTACTAAATACATGTGGCAATGCTCAATACAACACTGTGGTGGTTAACCTCAATTGTCACCTTGACTGGATTTGGAATCAACCAAGAGACATGCCTCTGGGAAGGTCTGTAAGGGTATTTTCCTGGAAGAATTAACTGAAGGAGGAAGAGGAAGGCCATCTCCCTCAGTACTGTCCAGCAGTGGCCCAGATATAAGGGAAAAAATGCTTTTTTTTTTTTTTTTTTTTTCCTTCCCCCCTTTGCCCTTCATGGGGCATCTACCCTGTTGCTGCCGCTGCCACCATCCTTCAGAGACATCAGAACCCAGCTTCTTTGGCCTTCCAACATGGACTGAAGACAGCAGCACTCAAGGCATCCTTCCAGGCATCTAGATTGAGGCTGCTTAGATGTTTGGTCTCATGGACTGAGCAGCTACTGGTTCTCAGCCTGTCCGGTGTGCAGACGGCTACCATTGGACTACCCAGACCATACTGTGAATGTCCCTGTGTCATACGCATATTCCTTCTGTTTCTCTGGAGAACATGGACTAATACAAACACCCCTGGTAGAGATGATTTCTAGACTCCCCACCATTGTAGCTTGTAGAGCCACTGCTGGGGGTGAGCCCAAAACAGCTACTGCTGTCCATACAGATTCTGCATGCGGTTAAGTGCGAAATGGTCTATTATCTGCTGGCATCACCCTATCCTCCTGTTCCAATCATAACTGTGACTAAACGTAGACACTAAAGGGTAAAAGGACATGATACAGATACCTGGGGCTTGAATGTCTAAGCCCACCCTTGGGCACCCAAACCCCTACACTTAGCATGGGTATTCTCCCACAGGCTAGCCTTTGACTCCATAATCCATCAGCCCTTGTTCCTTATGCCATGTGTCACTATTTCTAGTCTCTGAAGGCTGCCACCTTCTTTCTGAATGAACTACACAACCATTTGGTAACTCTTCAAAAATATTTTCTTTCATTGATAGGATTTGTGCAGGGTAGCCCTGCCACCATCTGTGCAGTCTGCTGTCTTTAAACCAAAAGTTGCAGAGAGTATTCTGTTTTGTTTTGTTTAGTTTTGTGACAGCGTCTCATGTAGCCCAGGTTGACCTCTAACTCACCATGTAGCCAGAGGATGATCTTGAACTTCTGATCTTCCTGCTTCCACTTCCCGAGTGCTGGGATTACAGGCATGTGCCACCACTGCTAGGCATCAAACTGAGGTCTTGGCTTCCTGTGCCATTAACAACTGAGCTACATCCCTAGCCCAGGAGTTTTTTCTTAGGCACATTTATAAGCCATCAATCATGATGTGGTGACTAGTTAATTATGCTTGTGTATTTACTCATTTTCTTCCCAAATGAGAAAGGGCAAGAATTTGTGATTCACAGCACAAACCAAACAAAGGCAGGAGGAGCTTTTGTGTCCCCATCACTAAGTCTGACAGAGTAGGCTCACGGTATGCAAAGAGAGGGTAGAAGACTGTTCCTGAACCTAACAGGCAAACAAAGCCTATTTCCAGAGTAGGTGTCCCAATTCACCTCTCTGGACTGCTTGCTCAGAGGAGGAGGCTAACTCACTGGTCAGGACTTCAAACATAACATTTTTACACAGAAACACCCAGGCGAGAATGAGGACTCACCCAGTCCAGAGATGTTGATTGCCTTCACAGATTTCTTCATTTTGTAGAGAACCATTCGGTCCACATCCAAAGCCTAAAATACAAAGAATATGTGGATTAAAACATGCTTACACTTAAACATAACTACCAGACCACAGCAGTGACAGCCTTCTAGAGGTCCCTACTGCAAGGTTCCGGGAATGTTTCTACAGGGTAAGACTTTGCCTAGTGTGGAAGATGAGTTTTCCAAGTGTACTGAGAATCAGTTTTGTTGATGACAACTGCAAACCAACTGATGTATGTCAGCCATCTAAACCATATGAGCTGTCTCTGCCCACATCACCTGCTGGTCACACACTTCCATAGCAAGGTGGGTGAACCCAGACAGATGGCTCTATCACAGCTGCACTGTCTCTAAATGTCAGTAAGTCTCCGGCACTAGCCCAAGCTATTCCCTCCCCCATAGAGAGGGTGGTCAGAGGGATACCAGGTGCCTCTCCACTACAAAGAGCACCCCGACCAGCAGGCCCCTGAGGACAAACAAGTCACGGAGTCAGACCTGCCCCATATAGATATAGCTGGTCCAATGGGAGGTAAACCCATTCTGTACTTGTGTGGATCTATTAGCTGTGTTTAAAAGATATGTTATGCTCCTAATTCCCTCCAAGCCTCAGATTTCTCTTCCAGAATCCAGCAGTAACAACTTTGCAAGGTTGAATGATTAAACAAACACTTACATAGTTAATAGTCAACAAATATTTACAGAGTAACTGTCACACAGTAGCAGCAAACGCCACTTGCACTGCCTGTGTTCTGTATTGTTGGGCACACATAGTAGGTACTCAGACAGAACTGTACAGCGACTCATCAAATCTGGGGACTTATACATGATTCTGCTTTCACAAGAGACAGAGCTAACATTTTCTTATAACTCAGTTAAACAGCACAGAAGATCAAAGGGTGCAAATTCAGTTGTGACCGGAGGGTAAACACATCTGTGAACCTGAAAATGAGGCCAATGTCAATGCTGTCGTACTGATTTCATGAGAGTCTGCTGGGGAAGGACACAGTCCAGGGTTTGGCAAATAGAGGTTTTGGTAATGATGGCTATTTAAGACACTAAAGTTATTTAAAAACAGAGCCCAGGATCTCACAGCATTGCAGTCTGGATACCTGGTCTCTCAAATCAGTTTCCAGCAGAAGCCTTTGTAAGCCCTAGTTCTAATGTCCCAATGGCTTTTTTTTTTTTTTTCCAAACAGATGTGATTAGAGTTAACAGTTTTAAATGGGAAATGATCACAAGATACCAGATATTAGATAGAGTAGTTACAGTACAAAGAAAGCTCCTGATCATGCCGTTGTGTACCTGTCCAAATCCACAGGATGTACTCCACAAGCAAACCCTAAAATATGTCAAGATACTGGGACTCAAACCTAGGGCCTTGGGCAAGGACTACCTCCCTAACCCTTGTTTTATTTTGTTTCTTTGAGACAGAATCTTGCTATATAGTTCAGGCTGGCACTGAATCAAAATTTCTTATAAAGAGTTAACTCTTTGGGGGGAGGGGTAATATGCAGGAGTATGTGTGTGTGGTGTATGTGCACGTATGTGTGTGCATGCACTTATGCACAAAGGCCAGTGGAGGACACCCTGCTCCATAGCTCTTTCCTGTATTCTTGAAAAAATGTCTCTATAAACCTAGAGCTAGGCTAGTCAAGAAGCCCTAGAGATCCTCCTATCTACACTCCCCACCCTCCCTCTGGAGTTGGTTTTAGAGGAGCATGTGTGTGTGGTGTATGTGCACGTATGTGTGTGCATGCACTTATGCACAAAGGCCAGTGGAGGACACCCTGCTCCATAGCTCTTTCCTGTATTCTTGAAAAAATGTCTCTATAAACCTAGAGCTAGGCTAGTCAAGAAGCCCTAGAGATCCTCCTATCTACACTCCCCACCCTCCCTCTGGAGTTGGTTTTAGAGGCACCTGCAACCACGCCTGGCTTTTTTTGTGTGTTGGGGGGGGTGTCCACACCTATGGAGGCCAGAGGAGGGCATCAGATGTCCCATTCTAGTACTCTCCACCTTATTCCCTTAAGACAGGGAGTGTTTTTGGCTAGGCTGGCTGGACACTGAGCTTCCAAGATCCACCTGTCTTCACCTCCCAGCACTGGGGTCACAGCCATGCCTGGCTTTTTTTTAATGTGTGTTCTGGGAAATCATCAGGTTCAACTCAAGTCTTCTGCTTATACAGTAAGTTGTTTTACCCACTGAGACATCTCCCTAGCCCCCAAGTAAACTCTTAATGTTCCTAGGTGGTGGTCATCTCTAATCCGTTCTTGACTTTCCTTTGAGGTATAAAAGAGGATTCGGAAACAGTAAATAACCCACAAAAATCCGCACTGAACTCTCTCTCACACAGTCTCAATATTTTCCTTCCCAATCCCCTAGCCACCAAACACTATTCCACAAGACAGGGTTCACTCAGGCTATACCAGAAACACTGCTTCCTGAAGCACCATCACCCTCATGTCAGGAGTAGAGCCTGCAAGCACAGATATAAATGAGTGTGCCGCCACAGCTGTGAGTTCCCATCCCGAGTAAAGGGTTGTTACTGAAAAACACATTTGATCTAGTAAACACGCAGTCCAGGACTCCGGAAGAATCTGTCTTGCCTAGTCTCTGCAATTCACTACAACTATATCTGACCTGCATTCAAATAAGAAATAGTCGCTCTCCTCTTAACCCCCCTCACAGTGGAGGAGACCCACAGCAGCACCCTTCCAGTGTAACAGGAGGGAGCCTCACAGAGAGAAATACACAAGAGCTCAAGGGCAGCTCAGATCGCTGGTGAGGCTTCCTGGTATCTTCAGAATAATGCCTCAACTCAAGCAAGCTATAAAAAATATCCTTGCATTCTGAACCCCCTGCTCCTCCATCGATGTCTCTGGGCTGTCATCTCCATCCCTGCTCATCTCCTGAGGTCCCCCAACTTGCTGTTTTCTAATGCCGAGCACTGTTGTTCTCTTTTCTCCACAGAATATCCTCAAGCCTCTTCTTGACACCCAACCTTACAAGCTGGTTCAGAGGTGTCTGGTCCTTCAGCAACGCCCCTGATGATTGCCCCCAAGACCAGCTAAGTACTCATCTTGGGTTGTCCCACAGCACTTGTGCTTATTCAGGGTTTCATCTGAGAAGATTTACTGGGTATCTGGTAAGTGCCAAATACTAAATCAGGTAATAGAGACGCAATGGCGAGCAAACCAAGACAAAGATCCAGTGAAAGATAGGCGCCCCCACAAATAAATGAACACTGGTAAGGAAGGGCACAACTCAACTCATACTGACTTATTTTCTACTCTTGGACACTGCATCTACACCTGTGCTGTAAACTGCAATAGCCACTACTGCCCACTCAAACATTTGAACATACTAAGTTTTGTGAAATGCCAATCAAACTACCTTCACTGCTTGTTAGTTTACCCAGTGCCCTAATCTAATTTAGGCCATATGCTGTGCTTTGGCCATATCACATCCCAGCACCCACCAGAGCCTGCCAAGAAATGGAACTCTGTGCCAAGCTACAGTGTTTCTCTAGCCAGAGAGAGTAGACGGTGGTACTTTAAGGATGCTAGAGGTGGGCAGGAAATGATCTGAGAAGAGGCCACCCAAAGATAAAGGAACTGGCTGGAATCATACTGGTTCAGAAACCAGTCAGGCTTGATCTGGGCATCTGATTCCTGGACAGCTAGAGACCTGTCCTGTCTCTCTCCAGTAGAATTAAGGGCTCCACCCACTAGTATCCTAAGGTAACAGCGCTTGCCTGTGTCTGTGGGAGGGCAGCTCAGTAAGGTGGGGGCAGGAAGTAGTGATTTACTGATTTGTCAGGAACTGGCACCTTACAACCAACTGAACTCAGACAAATCACACAGACACAGACACTGCACTCACACAGACAGATATACACACAGATGCATAACACCTAGGAAACAGTCTTCCCCCATCATGAGCAGCATAAAAATCTTGTTTAAAAAAAAAACACGCCATCTGGGTTCTTCTGCCCTATTGTTGAAGGGAAAGCCACATTTCCTAGGTGGATTAAACAAACATTCACTGCTGCTTTTCCCTGTCTGTTCAGCAGAGATTGAAGTACAGATGAACTTGGAGAAAGAGGTAATCATAATTAAAACCCACAGAGGGAAAAGCAATTCCCTCCCTACTCAAAAATGTACCCTTCACTGTGGCATGTATTTATAGGTCATTAAGATTAAACTCGGTCAGGAGAAGTGAGGATGATTAAAACTGACTGATAAAGAAGTCTTGTATCCCTTACTTATAAAAACAGTGCTGAAATCTTAATGCAACAACAATAATAAGGCTTTTGGGAGTCTCCGAAAAGAGAAGGTGTCAGCAACTTGCCTGAAACTTTAACCTGAACTCACCTCCCACCACCCCTTTCCCATCTGCTCAAACCCAAAGAAAAAGATGAGGCAACTTGCACCAAAATGTATGGGCAAACTTCAAGCACACAAAGGTGTAAAAATCAATAAAGACCTAAGGAAGGCCTGGCCTGCAGACGCCTGGACAAACCCCATAAACTCTGAAGGCTGGACTTAAGCTGACCTTCAGTTTGTAAAACAAGCTTTACAGATTAAATTTATTGCATAAACAAGACTGTAGGGATGTGTCTCAAATGTTTCCAAGAAAAATAAATAACTGTTAGAGTGGTGAAGTGGAGCCAGTGAGCAAGCAGGGGGCGTGGGCAGAGACTGTGAAGGGCACAGGTTAAGGCGAGCCCACAGCTCTGTGAAAGACCCTCTCAGCCCTGTTCATTTTTCATACCTGGATGCCCTACTCAGTAGCCATAAACTGCAGAAGAATGCTTCCATTAAAATGAAAAACACTGACAATTCATACAAACTCTTCTTCCTCTGACTCTGCTGACCCCTTTGTGCACCTGAACCCCTCCACCCCAGCCAGGGGAACCAACCAGGCAGTCTGGGTTGTTCCATGGGCTTAGCATCAGCATCCTGTCACACACATCCTCCCCTATGGAGAGCAAATCCGGTTTACTTCCTCTTGGGTCCCATAGAACCCTA